GCTTATAACCGACTTTCGGTTAAATCAACTCTTTCATAGAGTTTCAAACTCGTTCAGAGTTCTCCACAACGTCAAATCGTGAGGAGAAGACCACGTTCCAGTGAAGCAAGACGTCGGATCGTCAACGAGAAGCAAACTCGACGCAAGCATTCGAGGGAAGCATCTCATCGCCACCGTGAAGAACCCAGAATTAAACAAAGGGGAGAATCCAGATCATTCTCTTCTCTTTTGTAATCAGGAAATCCAATTATAACTGAGATTAAAGGAATATAAATCAATTTTCCTTCATTGTCTTTTTACTGCAAATTTACCACCAAACAAAAGATGGCGACTCCGCTGGGGACAAGCTTCTCTGACGAAGAAGTGGTGGTGCAATCTGATGTTCATCTCACTGGAACAACCGTCGAAACTCTTATTGTTGAGTTTGATCAAGCCAAGTTCGAGGAGGCCCTCTCATCCGGATCCCTTAGCCCCAAGGCTATGCGCAAGATCAGCAAAGTTTTCAAGGAGACTAAAACTCCAGATGTGGCCGACTCGCCGAAGTACTGTCCCCCTTGGGGGTTGCACTGTTCATACAGTCCCCTCTCTGAAGGAGAGGACCTAGCTTCGGCACAACTCCAAAAAAGTCGATCCTTCAATCAACGCGAGCTCCGCGTTTTTGAGCCTCAACGCGAGCCCTGCAGAAGCCAAGATAAACGCAGCCCTCAGGGGTGCGTTTCACAAGCAAAACCTAGAGCTCAAGCATGCGTTCGGGTGACGAAATCCAATATGGAATCTGGTGTATACTCTGCGTAGCACGATTATATTGAGGGGCAGATATAAGAAGTTCATGGATTCAAGGCATCTCAACCAGATCCATGTTCACCGAGAGCCAGTCTTGTCCAATCATGGACTGGGGGTTCCAATTCAAACCTCACGATCAGTGAGCAATTATCCTCAAATCTTCACAACAGATTTGAGAGAGTTCATATCGAGAGAAAGACCGATTCAGCACGTCATTCGTTCATTCCAATGTGAATGGCTGATTCCTATGGTCCTCTCGGGATATCAACGTTGCTCATGTGCGGCCAAACCATTGGTGTTTAACCAATTTACGAATGTTGCTTTGCCCAACCAACGACGATGTTCTCACAGGAAGAAGTCTCCAGAGACCGAATATCCTGAGGTCACTATCAATGTGATCGCCAGAGGGAAAGCCTCAGGTCCTAGTTCCGATGACTCTGAGACAAGTCGTTCGCCGACCGTCAGAGAAATCGCTAACGAGTTTGAAGGAGTTTACCGACACACTCGGACGCGAACAGGAACAATTCCCCCTATCAACTATCGGAGGTTAGCCCAAGGAACTAATTCCGATGATGAACACTCAGCCATTGCGGAGTCTCAATCATCAAGCTCTTTCATTGGGCATGAGAGCTTCACCCACATGGCAGAACATTCTGAAGATCTTTCAAAGAGGGTTGCTGAGCAAGACGCCATGCTCAAATCACAGCAGAAGACCCTCAATGAACTCCTAGACCTGTTGACTCAACTCGTCGCAGACAAGGCTAAATCTCAGAAGACAGATTCGCCACCTAGACAAGAATCCTCCCGGAGAGGAAAAACGTCTTCATCCCGACCTCACACAAGCAAAGGGAAGGGAAAAGTGGTTGATGACACGGCTTCTGACCAAGAAGCCCACAACCTAGAATCTTCCTCTGATGAAGAAAGA